GGGAGCAGCCGCATGGATCATGGACGTACGAGCGACATTCATGACCATGCCAATGCGGCGCTCAGCAATCCCATTTTGCTGCGGAGAGGTCGGAAGCATGAACGTCTGGCGGATGCCCTCCGCACGACCGAAGGCTCGCAGAAGGTCGGAGGAAAACTCTCCACCTGTGTCGGAGTGCAGACGCAAAACAGGAAGGTCCGAGCCGAAACTCTCGCTGAGGTGACGACCGGCAGCGCGGATCCAGTCGATCAGCACCTCAGTGACCTCACCCTTGCGGCGCAAGGGGAAGACGGTGGTGTAGCGCTCGTGACCCTGGCCATGGACACGGGCTGGGCCCCACACGTCCATGTGAAGCGTCAGCAGGGGAGCCTCCGACGGAGGGAACTCGGAGGAGTGAGGATCGGTGCGCTGCCGCCCCTCGACGCAAGGAACGCAGGTAGGGGCAGGCCCCGGGGGAAGGGGAGGGAGAGACCGGGGAAGACCAGTGACAAGGACACGGGAGGTCATGCCTCGGAGACAAGGCAGGGAGTGGTGACCAAGGCAGTGGTGCCAGAGGAGAGTCTTGTGAGACAGGAGGCGACACGAGCAGGGGGCAGACTCAGGACCAGACCGGGGCGCTGCAGCAAACACCTGACCCGACGCAGCTACCTGGCCAGACTGAGCAACCGGAGGAGACACGGTAGTCAGGGTGTACAGGTTCGACCTAGGTTGACGGGTGAACGTGGCCAGGTGCCGGCCCGTCCGAGTACACGAACAGTGGGTCACCCGCTGACCTCCAGGAGTGAACTGGTCAACCCACGCGTCCTGAAGGTCAGCTCCACTCACCAAGTTCGTGGAGAACGAGGGGAGGTGGAGGCCAGACAGAGAGCCAGACGGGACCGCCGGACACGGCAGAACCGTGGAGGAGTGTGCAAGGACCGGACCCCCAGAGGGGTCAGCCAGAGAGAGTGCCACTGGCCAACTGAGCGGCGAGAGTGTGGTGCAGTCGCGAAAGAAGGAGCGGGAAGCACCCGAGTCAAGGGTGAAAGTGTGCAAGGCCGCAGCAGGCGTAGTACCAGAGAGAGCAGACTCACCAACACCTGGAGGAGTGGACTCCCTAGCGCCTAGAGCAGCAGCCTCACCCGCACCTGGAGCAGGAAACGCACCAGCACTTAGAGCAGTAGCCTCACCAACACATAGAGCAGCAGACTCTATGCCTGGGTCAGGCGGCACACACAGGTAACAGGCACCCTCAGCACTGGTAGGCAATGCATACATGGCAGTGAGGATAGCATCATGGTCAAGAGCAAAGATATCTACCCTCTGCCTAAGCAGCTCCACCTATTCGGGGAGCTCAGCCGCGTCGCCAAACTCTGTACGCCATGCGTCGCTCAGACGGGAGAAGCAGCGGGACTATGTGTGACCAATCGTCCTGCAAGGCTGACCAGGCCGAGCACCAGTGCGAATGACGTACGGGCAGCGAACAGTACTCCGTGACCCTCCACTTTGAGCGTACCACTCACGAAGCTGCTGGGGCGAAAAGACCGCGCGCGGACGCTGCAGCAGCTGCACCTGGTCACTATAAGAAGCTCGCGAACGACCCGCTCCAGGGGGACTCCCAGCACGGCCACCCCTACAACCCCAACTAGCGTACCACTCACGAAGCTGTTGGGGCATGAGGGACTCACGCGGACATCGCAAGAGCTGCATCTGGCCACCGCCAGGAGCAGCAGTAGCGGTAGTAGCTACATTAGCAGCAGTAGCATCAGTAACAGCAGTAACAGCAGTAGCAGCGTAACCACCCCTACAACCCCAACTAGCGTACCACTCACGAAGCTGCTAGGGTGTGAGGGACTCACGCGGACGTTGCTAGAGCTGCATCTGGCCACCACAGGGAGCAGTAGTAGCAATAGTAGCCACGGTAGCAGCAGTAGCAGCAGTAACAGCAGTAGCAGCAGTAACAGCAGTAGCAGCAGTAGCAGTAGTGTGAGAGTACGACGGCTTATGCCAGCTATGCTTGCTTGCCTTTACTTTATCATGCTATTTCTAGCATAGGAAAATAATATGCATGCATGAACAGCTTGATTTCCTAGGCTAGGTGCTTTCCTATATTTAATTTTAGTTATAGCACCGAGCTAGGTTGCGTGCACCAAATTCTGGCTTTTCGGTTGCCACCGAATTGCCTTCTACCGAATTCGGGAAGGATCTGTTTGGGACGCTTCGCGACCCGCGGAACATTCGCGTAACACCTGGTTATGGGGCCTTGTGTCGAGCCTATATATAGCCTCGTGTTGTACCCAGGTGATCATTCAATTTACATTCTCTTTTCTGAGCTCAATCCTAGATCCTCACACTTGGTAATCAGAGCCTGTTTGCAAGCGAAGTTTTTCGACCGCTAAAACCTAGCTTTTAAAACCGCGGGGGCGACGGCGGAAAGCGCCGATTTCGGGTACGTAAACCAGTTCCGCGCTATTTTCTAACGTCCCCCTCGAACCGGTTTTTGAACACTTCTCCGGTCCAGTGGCGAAAAAGTTGGAATTTCGACCGTCGGATCAATTCGAATCTCAACGGCCTCGAGAATTTCGCCCAAAACATTTGGAATTTGGAGCGTCGGAACGAATTTCTTCTCAACAGCCGAGATCGGACGCGAATTTCGACTAAGGAAGAATTACGCGACCTACAGAATCAGCGCTTGTCAATTCTACAGTCAATTCGACTCACAGTAAGATGACCAGCGCCTAGAATCCAATTATTTTCGTCGCAAATCTTCCGTAAATCGCTAAATGGAGGAAAATGGTGATAATCGTGAAGAAATGAGGAATGAATGAACTAGCAAGCAGGTGGGTACGAGTAGGAAAACGTAAAAGTGTTGTACCCCATATTGTCTACCCCACTACAGCCTACACAGACTAAAGCATATGAGTTTGACCCACTCCCATAGGCAAAGTGGGGGAGAACAAGAGGTCACAAGACCAGTCAAGCAAAGCAGAGCAAGCTCACGGTGGATCACAACGTCACCACACATTCCGAGCACAAGTTCAAGGCCTCAAGGCCAGTTCACATGCAAGATCATATATAAAGGTAAACAAGCAAGTGCAGGTATAGAAAGATCACAGTACAAGCAAGGTCAAGAAGTGAGCAAGTGAGGCCAAGTAGGCACAAGACCTAGCATCGTACAAAAGCGTTGATGATCACAAGGCGGAAGTGCCTTGATAAAGATATCAGCAGTGTTGGCCTCAGAGGCCACGTAAGCAAGGCGCAGCTGACCACGCTGCTGCAGCTCACGAGCAAGGAAGTAGCAAAGAGCAATGTGCTTCGTTCTGTGCTCCAGTCTGTGCTCCCGACACAAGGCCAGCATGGCCTTGTTGTCTACGTACAGAATTGGAGGAGAACGAGGCGGCTCTACTAAGTTAGTCAACAGGTAGGTGAGCTAGCATAGCTCCTGTGCAGCCATGGCCCCCGCGTAGATCTCAGCCTCACAGCAGGAGCCGAGAACAGAAGACGAGCGGGTAGACCGCCACGAAACAGAGCCGGAACCAAGGCTGAAGGTGTAACCCTGTGACGACCGCTGCGTAGCCTGGTCGTCAGCCCAAGAAGCGTCTGCCTCACCTGTGAGGACCACTGAACGTCGACCTCCAAGCACTAGCCCCATGCCCGACGTACTGCACAAGTAGCGCAACACCCTCTTCGCTGCAGCCATGTGCTCAGGTCTGTGTCTCCCAGGAGCAACATAGCGCGCCAAGATGCTAAGAGGGTATGCAAGGTCAGGTCGAGTGCAGGTCATCAGGTACATGAGGCAGCCAACAAGCTCTGTGTACGGGCCACTCGGCTCTACGGACTCATCCGAAGGCAGAGCTGAGAGCGAGTGGCGAGTAGACACAGGAGTGGCCTGAGGCGAGGAGTACGTGAAGTCGAAGCGCTGAAGGACCTGCTGCACCATGTGTGACTGAGTCAGGGTAATGGTGCGCTGTGCTCTGTCCTGGGTGATCTGCAAGCCAAGGTAGCTGCGCAGTTCACCCAGGTCTGTGCACGTGTGTCTCTTCTGCAGCTCGGACTTCACGTGGGCGAGTCCAGCAGTGTCAGCAGTGGCAAAGACCAAGTCGTCGACGTACACGAGGATGTAGAACGGCGGCAAAGAGGTGTCGGTGCGTAGAAACAACGACGGGTCGGCAGTAGAAGGAGCAAACCCAAGAGCCGCAAGTGTGGTCCTCAGTGTGTCGTGCCACTCACGGGGCGCCTGGCGGAGACCATAGACTGGCTGCCGAAGGCTCCACTGGGTACCAGGAGGAAAAGACCCAGTGAAGACAGGTGGGCGGCGCAGCCAGATCTCCTCGTGCAGGCTGCCCTGTAGGAAAGCAGCATTGAAGTCAAGAGAGTGAAGCTCGTAGTCACGCTGAGCGGCTATGTGTAGTAGCACCCGAAGAGTGGTCATCTTCGAGGTGGGAGAGAAGGTCTGAAAGTAGTCAACTCCCTGCCGCTGACTGAAGCCTCGAGCCACGTAACGCGCCTTGAAGACAGGCGGAGAACCCGGCGGCCGCTTCACCCTGAAAACCCACATGCCACTGACGATGTTCGCCCCAGGTGGGGGAACCTCGTCGACGTAGGTGCCTGTGGACTTCAAGGTAGCCATCTCTGCGTCCATGGCTGACTACCACTGTGAGGAGTAGGGACCTTTGATCGCCTCAGCGTACGATCGAGGAGTCGGGATGTCTGGTGCATCCGGGTCTCCCTCAGGGGCAATCAGCATGGACACGAGATGAGGCAAAGCAGTAGCAAAACACTGGAACTCCTCCTGCCTGTCCTCAAGGACGTCCGTGCTAAGAGCACACTCACCCCCGACGGACGGAGGACAGACAGACTCAGACTCAGTGACAAGACTAGCAGCGTAGTCTAGACGACAGCGAGCAGCAAAGTCGACAAGCTTAGCAACCAAAGCAGACGCAGCAGTGGACTCAAACGAAGGGTCAATGACAACAGTAGCCAGGAGACGCGTGACAGTAGGACTGGCAGCACGAAGAGAGTCAGACTCCGGGTCAGCAAGAGTAGGAAGAGAGGACTCTGGAGGAGACGGCAAAAGGACACACAGAGGAGCAGTGGAAGGACGCAGTGCCATCTGGTGTGTGCCTGGGACCGCAGGAGGACGCGGACGCGGAGCACGACTACTAGTGCGAGCAGCACGAACAGGCGACGCAGGACGAGACGCAGGCTCACGACGCTCAGCAAGGCCTCCACTAGAACCAAGTTCGTAGAGAACGAGGGGAGGTAGAGACCTGACAGGGTGCCAGAGGGGGCTGCGGCACACGGTAAGACAGTGGAGAAGTGGGCAAGGACAGGACCCCCAGAGGGGTCCGTCAGGGAGACCGCAACCGGCCGACTAAGCGGCGTAAGCGGGGTGCGGTCTTGAAAGAAGGAGTGGGAAGCACCCGAGTCAAGGGTGAAGGTGTGTAAGGCCTGAGCCGACGTGGTACCTGAGAGAGCAGACTTACCAGCACCTTGGGCAGCAGACGCACTAGCACCTAGAGCAGCAGCCTCAATGCCCGGGTCAGGCGGAACACACAGGTAACAATCACCCTCATCACTAGTAGACACAACATACATGGCAGCAAGAATGGCATCATAATCGAGATCAAAGACAGCAACCCTCGACCTAAGCGGCTCGCCCCAGCGGGGGATCTCAGTGGCGTCAGGGAACTGGAGACGCCAAGGGTCCGTCAGACGGCCGAAGCAGCGCTGGGTGGTGTGCGGGCCACCGCACGGCTCACTAGTGCGGTCGCCGGTACGCAGGACGTAGGCACATGGACCACCACCCCCACCCCGCTGATGCGCTGAGTACCACTCACGAAGCTGCTGGGGGGGCGGAGTCTCACAAGCGCGCTGCTGCTGCTGGCGCTGACCACCACCGAAGCCGCCACGCTGCGCAGAGCCACCCCGACTAGCTCCACCTCCTCCGCCGCCACCTCCGCCACCGCTGCCACCGCCTCCTCCTCCGCTCCCACCGCCACTGCCGCCGCCGCCTCCGCCTCCACCGCCGCCACCGAAGCCCCCACCCCCGCCACCACTCCCACCACCACCCCCACTCCCTCCGCCTCCTCCACCGCCACCTCCACCGCCCCCGCCAGCCCCTCCAGCGCCCTTGCCCCTTTGCCCTTGCCAGTGCGGCGTCGCCCGCTAGGGGCAGACGCATCGCCGACCGACTCGGTGCCAACGAAGTCGACGGCAGCAGCAGAGGCAACAGAGGGCAAAAGGGGGGAGGGGGAGCACCCCTTAAAGACGGGGGCACGAGGGTCACCACGAGAAGCTCCTACAGCGACTATACTCTTCTCAGCTGCCAGGAGGCGCTCCTTGAGGAGGTCAACGGTGAGTGTGGTGGGGCAAACAGAGAGGAAGTGGTCCCTGACCGAGGGAAGGGAGTCAGGGAGCCAAGTGACTATGTAGTAGAGGGTGATGTACATGGGGGGGGGGTTCTTGGCACAGAACTCAGCAGGAAGCGCAGCGCGGTAGCGGGTGTCACTAGTGCGAAGGTGCGTAACGAGGTCAGTGACAGTGGGAAAGGCGGCGAGGTCAGGAAACAGGTACGGCAGCATGAGGCGGCTAAGGGCAGCAGTGGCAGGGGAAGAGTAGCGTGCAACTACAGCATCGTACAAGGTCTTAGCACTCTTATACTGACTAAAGTGCGCGTGCTCAGTGGACGGCAAGTGACTACGCACAGCAAGACGGACAGCAGCATCGAGTGTGGCCCACTGTGAGCGAACAGTGCTGTCAGCATCGGTAGCAGGGGCAGTAGAGGCGCCAGACGTGAGATCGAACAGGGAGAGACCGTCCTTCCTATCGCACTGTAGGAAAAGCTTAGATCATCGACCCAGACCTCATAGTCAACAGCCTGACCCTCAGCATCAAAGACTAGAACACTAGGGGTAGCCATGACAGCAGTGGCAGCAGGCTAGGGGCAGCAGTAGCAGGCGTTGCTCGGCAGTGCTCTCACCACGGCTGGTAGGTAGGGGCCGGCAAGCGGTGGGGCAGGGCCGAGGCGCGTCGGCAGGGACAGAGCCGCGACCGCGGCGGCAGCTCCTGCTGTCAGTGGCGGCGGCAGTCGCTGCTGTCGGCCGCGACGGCTGCTGCTGGTGGTGGCCGCCGCTGTTGTCGGCGGCTTCTGCTGCTGTTGGCTGCTGCTGGTGGCGGCGGCGTCTGCTGCTGGCGGCGGCTGCTGCTGGTGGCGGAGGAGCCAAGGAGGGGCCGGGAAGAGTGGCGACGGTGGTCACGAAGGGCGGCGATGGGGCCGAGAAGAGGCCGCGAGGGGCCGCAAAGGGCGGCGATGGGGCCGCTAGAGGCGGCGACGGGGCCGCGAAGGGCAGCGACGGGGCCGCTAGAGGCGGCGACGGGGCCGCGAAGGGCGGCGACGGGGCCGATAGGGGCGGCGACGGAGCCGCAAAGGGCGGCGACGGAGCCGCAAAGGGCGGCGACGGGGCCGATAGGGGCGGCAACTGGGCCGCTAGGGGCGGCGACAGGGCCGCGAAGGGGCTGCGAGGGGCCTCAAAGGGCGGCGACGGGGCCGGTAGGAGCGGCTACGGGGCCGCTAGAGGCGGCGACGGGGCCGATAGGGGCGGCGACGGGGCCGATAGGGGCGGCGACGGGGCCGCTAGGGGCGGCGACAGAGCCGAAAAGGGGCCGAGAGGGGCCTCGAAGGGCGGCGACGGGGCCTCTAGGGGCGGCGACGGGGCCGCGAGGGGCCTCGAAGGGCGGCGACGAGGCCGCGAAGGACGGCGACGGGGCCATAACGGGCGGCGACGAGGTCGCGAAGGGCGGCGACGGGGCCGCTAAGGGTGGCGATGGGGCCGCTAGGGGTGGCGACGGGGCCGCTAAGGGCGGCGCGAGGGGCCGGGAGAGGGGCCTCTAGGAGGGCGCGTTAGGCCGCTAAGGGCAGGGGACGCGACGAGAGGGCGGGCCACGAGGCGCGCCTCGGGCGAGGTCGACTCGCGCTCCGGTCAGGAAAAAATAAAAATTCGATTTTCAGTGGTGGGCCCTAGGAAGCGTTCCCACTAGGGAACCTGCTCTATACCATATGAAGAAATGAGGAATGAATGAACTAGCAAGCAGGTGGGTACAAGTAGGAAAACCTAAAAGTGTTGTCTACCCCACTACAGCCTACACAGACTATAGCATATGCGTTTGACAGTAATTCCGTACGAAAAATTACGGAGTTACACACCGGCCTACACCAGACGCGAGCGGCACTCCAGCGAATAGAGCAGCTTCTCGTGAACCAGTCGGCAGCCGCCACAGCAGCAGCGGACGCAACAGCGAATGCAGCAGCGACGGTAACAGCAGGAGCGGCGACACCGACACTTCACCCAGCAGCAGCGACAGTGACTACAGTGAATCTTGATGCGGCACATCCGAGGCAACCAGAGACGTTCAATTCGAATGCGAGAGACACCGACGTCCGTCGATTCATTGCGACCCTCGAAATTTACTTCGAGGCCGTTGGTTGTATGACCCCGACACACGATGCAATGCGGATTCGGCTCGCTGCGACACTGTTACGAGGCCCGGCGCTCGAGAGGATTTACAACAGCATTGAGATCCGAGGCGAGGGGTCATGGACGCAGTTTCGGGAAGCTTTAATTCAACGTTTCGAACCAATCAACTCCAGCTACATGGTGCGGCGGCAAATTCAGCGGCATAAACACTTCGGCAGTGTAACACAGTACACGCAGCAGATGGAGAGCCTCTTCAACCGAATTACCGACCTGACCGAAGGGGAAAAAATCCAAACGTATACTGAGGGGCTAAAAATGGAAGTCCGGCGACAGGTGATAACCGCGAACTAAAACAACTACCGCGACATGGTGTGTGCAGCAGAGAGATTCGATGCGTTGATGCGAGATCAACCCGAAACACGACGACGCATGCCGAGCATATCATTCGGCACGGAGCGATCGGCACCACTTCGAGCGCAAGACCGAGGGATGATCTGTTCGACGTACCCTTTGGTCCTATAAGCGAGACCATCTACGGTTACTTTGAGCAGCAACATCCACTACTACTCGAGGTGATCTGCAACGGGCGACGCCTCCAGGCAATGGTGGACAGTGGTGCGTCCCACTCGGTGTCCGACCGCGGGACGTTGGAGAAAATTGGAGAGTCTTCAGAGGAGACCAAGTTCACGGCAACAATGGTGGACGGTACGAAACTTCCCATCCACGGTGAAGCATCACTGCAGCTGCACATAGGGGCGCTGAGGTGGAAGCGGACATTGCCGATCACGAACATCAAGGGTTTAGATATTTTTTTGGGGCGAGATTTCTTGAAGCGGTTCAACCCCGAGATCGGCTGGATCAATAGGAAGGCGTGCATTTACAACAACGGGAAACGAGTGGAACTGCGAAGCTGGACGGATACAGGGAACGTTCCTGAAACAACACTGGCACGGTTTGAACAGACGGTGAACGAGAATAACAAGGGCTACCTAGCACTGGTCATGGCAGCAGCAGAGGAGGAGAAACCGAACGCAGAGCTACCTGTAGCAGTGAAGGACGTCTTGGAGAAATACAAGGATATAATGCCCTACCTGCAAGCGTACCTCCAGCACGCAGCCACGAGCACGAGATCGTGGAGGAACCAGGTGTGAAACCTGTCTCACGCGCACCATACCGACTGAGTCCGACCGAGCTGACAGGCATGAAGAAACAGATAGAGTATCTACTGGATAGACAACTGATCCGCCCATCCACCTCTCCCTACGGTGCACTAGTCCTCTTCACCCCAAAACCAGACGGCAGTTAACGGATGTGCATCGACTACCGCGCACTGAACAAACAGACAGTTGAAACAAATACCCCATACCGTGCATAGACGACATACTGGACCAACTGCATGGTGCAACAGTCTTTTCGAAGCTGGACCTACGGTCGGGTTACGGGCAGATCAAGATGGCAGACAACTCGGTCCACAAGACAGCGTTCCGTACCAGATACAGCTCCTACGAATACTTGGTGATGCCGTTCGGAATGCAACGCACCAGCAACGTTTCAGGCGGAGATGAATCACATATTACGGCCCCTGCTAGACGAGTGCGTGGTGGTGTACCTGGACGACATTCTCATCTACTCCAAGAACATGAAGGAGCACGTGGAGCATCTGCGGAAGGTGTTCGAGATCCTGCGGAAAAACAAGTTCTACATGAAGCTGTCGAAGAGCGACTTCGCCCTGAAGAAGGTGCAGTTTCTCGGGCACATGGTGAGTGCCGAGGGCGTACACGTGGACCCGCGGAAGATCGAAGCCGTCAAGAAATGGAAAGTACCGGAGAACGTGAAGGAGTTGCAGCAGTTCCAAGGCTTCGCCAGAAACTACAACAGGTTCGTGCCGCAGTACGCTAAGATAGCAGCGCCACAGACCGACCTACTGAAAAAGGATACGCCCTACGAATGGGATACTCCTCATCAGCAAGCCATGGAGAAACTACAGACAGCACTGACTACAGCGCCAGTACTCATCCTACCGGACCTAGACAAGGACTACGTGGTGGAAGCAGACGCTAGTGACCAAGCAGTCGGAGCAGTACTGATACAGGATCACGGACGCGGTTTGCAGCCCATCGCCTACCTCAGTAAGAAGCTACACGGAGCAGAACTGAACTACCCCATCCATGAGAAGGAAGCCTTAGCGATCGTCATAGCCTTCAAGGCGTGGAGGTGTTACCTAAAGGGAGCCAAGACTACAGTCTATACTGACCACTGCAGTCTCAAATACCTGAAGTCGCAGCCGACGCTCTCACGACGACAGGTGCGGTGGGTGGACTTCCTGGAAACTCACTTCCACTACGACATCATCTACAAGCCCGGGCTACACAACGAAGCAGACGCGCTGAGCCGCCCCGGTCATGTAGCAGGCATCCAGCTCGACGGGATGAGCCCTCTGCTCAAGGGTCTATTCCATCATGGATACTCCGTGGACGCAGAGATCGCTACAGCACAGACTAAGAAGTTGTTACAGTGGGAGAAAGACTTAGCTGTAAGGAAGGGTTCAGGAAAGATTTGGGTACCGAATAACGCCCCGCTACGGCAGATCCTATTGGAGGAGTTTCACGACGTACCTTACGCGGGACATTTCGGGAGCAACAAGACGTCAGCGCGAATAGCAAAGTATTACTACTGGCCTGGGATGGCAGCAGACGTGCAGCAGTTCGTCACCTCATGCGACACGTGCCAGCAGATGAAGAGCAGCAAGCAGAAAAAAGCAGGGTTACTTCAGCCTCTACCTGTACCGGAGCAGCCATGGCAGGCAGTTAGCCTCGACTTCATCACAGGACTTCCTTCGACCTCACGAGGTCATGATTCCATCCTCGTAGTGATCGATAAGTTCTCCAAAATGGGTCACTTCATACCGACCAACCCCACAGCTACAGCTGAAGCAACTGCTCGCCTCTTCTTTGACTGCATCATCACCATCCACGGCATCCCCAAAACACTCATCTCAGACAGAGACCCCAAATTTACGAGTAAGTTTTGGAAGGAGCTCATGGGATTATTAAGGACTAAATTTGCGATGTCCTCAGCATACCACATGTGAAGAAATGAGGAGTGAATGAACTAGGAAAGAGGTGGGTACAAGTAGGAAAACCTAGAAATGTTGTACCCCATATTGTCTACCCCACTACAGCCTACACTGACTATAGCATATAAGTTTGACACACCCCCATAGGCAAAGTGGGGGAGAACTAGAGGTCATAAGACCAGTCAAGCAAAGCAAAGCAAAGCAAGCTCAGGGTGCATCACAACGTCACCACACAGTCCGAGCACAAGTTCAAGGACACAAGGCCAGTTCAAATGCAAGATCATATATAAAGGTAAACAAGCAAGTGCAGGTATAGAAAGATCACAGTACAAGCAAGGTCAAGAAGTGAGCAAGTGAGGCCAAGTAGGC